CATGCATAGGCGCATTAAAAATGGCTGAGCTCTTGTAAATCTCCCTGGCAAGTCTAGACTTATTCAGTGTCTTAAGTCCTTTCATTATTTACAAGTAAATACATTTTAAAAATGCAGTCATAAATCTTTGAAAACTTCTTCATTTGTGCTTGGTTGAAACTCTGCAAACTTTTTAATGCAAAGCTGACAGCAGGTAGAAATGTTTACCCTCTCTTTGTAGGTAGGGTTGAATTCTGCTCACAGTGATGGCAAAGCAAGCTGCTGATTCCGTGCTGTCTGCTGTTGAATCCAAGTTTGAAAATCTGTAGATTTAAAAGGAAGGAAACAATATTGGGGAGAAAGTGTTGAATTGTGTATTTGTGAAGCAAAAGTAAAGCAGCCAGAAGGGTAGGAAAGAACTGGCTTTGTCTCTCATTAGCATGTCTTCCTAGAATATGTTCTGCCTCTTACTTTAGTGCAGTGCCTCTGAGTTCTTTAAAAGGCATTGAATTTTGGCCGGGGAAGAGGAGCAGTATGACTAAGGGATGCTGTGGTCTCTGAGGTGTCTGTCTGCTGAGAGTCAGAGTGGAGCTGTGATGCCAACACCGGCTGTGGGAAGTGTAGGACAGGCGCCACTCCTGTGTGTCCCAGCCCTCCTGGCCCTTAGTGGGGCTGCCTGCCTCCTCAGGAGCCCTGTGCTGGGAGCTGGCATGGGATGAGATTCCTGGGTTGTCACCAGATTCTTCGATGTGTGTTTATTCACTGCCCTACATGCATGTCCAAATCTGAGTGCATTGCTGAGACTTTGCTCATGATCAGAGCTATTTACATCTACTCATTTTGTTACCTCTGTGCTCTGCCGTGCCCTTGGGAGCTTTGTTCCAGTCTCCCAGCTTTCACACATAAGTATCCACAGTGGGATTTGCAAATATACCCGTCTGTGGAAAATTGGTGTATGATACTTAGAGCAGCAATGCAGCATCCAAATTACGCATCTTATATGGCATGGAAAAAAAAAAGTGGGCAAGCAACATTAAATAGCATATTTGTACAGAAGCAACTGAATTGTGATTTCTTTAGGAAGCTTATGTATCAAATTTACCTGTTTTACATCTCTTGTCTTTTTACTCCTGGCATTTTTGAGGAGTTAGATCCTGAACTCCTCTTGGATTTGTCATTGTTGGCACCAGTTAGAAAGGTGGCAGGGTTTCCATGGCATGTTTAGCCTTCATGCATCGGGGACAGCTTCAGCACATGGGCAGTATGTTGCATCAGCCTAGGGCTGTTTGTTTGCTGGTGGGCCCACAAGAGGGACAGAGCAGGAGGCAGTGATGGGTTCTTGTCCTTGTGAGACGCTCATCAAATAGAAGAAGGGAACAAAAGCTCCAAACCACACGGTTGTCTTGTTTCAGCACCTATCTCCTCAAAAACTGTGCTGTGTTCCACCTGTGGGCTATCACTGTTATTTTTATACATGTTTATAGTATATATAGAGATCTTAAATTCAACTCTTCGAACACCTAATAAGTTCACTAACCTCCAAGAGCAATTGCCTAAAGAGCACTGCAGTCTCTTGATTTCCACAAGGTAGCTGGTGAAGTGTTTTATTTTGCTGGGTTTTCTAATGCTACTCAATTTAAATATATATATATATGGTATCTATATAAGCAAGTTAATAAACTGTTCAAGTAGCAGCAGGTGGAGAGACCTCTGCTCTGTTGTATCCCAACTCCTGTACCCATTCAGAATGATCTGGTGATCCAGTGAACCCAGGGGACTGGGTTTTTGGTTGCTTTTTTTTCTGTTCTCTTTGCTGAGGTCTGATTTGCAGTGAGGTGCCATGGGCTGTTTGGCCCTAGTTTTGTCTGTCTGGATTCATGACTTCCAGATTCTGTGAATTTCCCAAGCAGCTTCTCACATTTTCTTGGCATTTTGTGGATGGCTTTAAGAGATGAACTACTTTCTTTGTGTACGTTAATAAGTGGCTGTGCCCTGATAGTTCTCTTTGTCTTCTAATGCTTTGTTTAAGGTAGACTCATGCAGTGAGTTTGCCGATGCTGTAAATGGTGGATGAGTTCTTAATTTACTGTGAGATCTGCTGATGAAAAGGCTGTGTGTGAGCTCAGTGTTGTTAAAGATAGTGTTGATGTGATAGCTTGAAGAGGAGACTATCTGCAGAGGTTCTTGAATTACTGCATAGGGCAAACCCTAGTGCTTGCATTGTGTAATGTCCTTTCCTAGCCTGTTGTTTTCTATTAAATCACTTTAGAGTTCAAATCCATCTCTTACACTCACATGCATCTCCTTTGTTCCTCATCCACCTGCACCTTCCATCTGTCAAGCGACAAAATAATATTTAATTCTGATCAAAGAACAACTTTGATAGAAATGTCTTCAGAAAGAATAAACGTAGTTCGAAGTGTAAATGTTCAGTCCTCTGGAAGAGTGAAAAATGAGGCGATGGAAAATGTCAGGCTGTAGTTCGCAGGCAGCAGCACTTAAATGGTTTGCTGTAATCATATTAGGATAGAATTAAACTGAATTCTTTATTTTGTACTGCAGTGAAATAGGACTGTTACTGATCATTTTCTCCTCCCTCATGCTTTGATGATTAGCATGAAAACTCAAGCAGCAGAATTACAGGAGTTATGCGGCAGTGGAGCTGGTGTGAAAGAGCCTGAGCTGGAGTTTTGTGTCCTTGCACATGAGAGCTCTGGTGCTTTCCTAATAGACTGAAAATGAGACTACTGCTGCTTTATAAGAGGTCTGTTCCAGCCACATTGCTCTACAGCTTGGCAGATGGTGGCATGTGAATGGTTTCATATTGATTGGATGGATTTGCCTCGGGATAAGAGGAGTGTGGGGCCTTAGAGGTACACTTCTACCTCTTTTTTTTTTTTTTCTTTTTTGTTTGGGGGGGGGAGGGAGGGAAGGAAATGCATGTTTATAAAACACTTCACTTTAAATCAGAGGAGTACGTAGTAATTCAAGCACTGAAGGTACCTGGAAATAAAAAGTCCTTAAATAGATTATCACAAAGTCCAGAAAGCCAAGGGTACTTATTTACTGAATGATTATGCTTTTACATTAGAAGAAAATGACACTTTTAATTAGTGTTCAAGGCATATGGTGAATGAGAAAATAAGCTTATTTCATGCAAACAGAAATCGATGCAAATAACCTTTCTCCTCTTTCTCCTCGTATAAAAAGGGATGACTTGAAACTCAATACATATTCAAGAAGGTTAAGTCATTACTGCATCACTTTAATATTAGTTAAAGGCCAACAAAGAAAACCACTACTCTGCTTGTACTTACTCAGCAAGGATTGCTGTGTTTGAAAGAATTAGTGATACTTCGTAGGTGAAAAATCTGAAGAATCCCTGGTCCATACCATGCTTTTATTATTTAACCACAGTAAATAACCTTTTGGGTTCTGCCTTAGTGCAGGAAGTGGCTGGAGATCCTGTAATTCTCATACCTGTCTATCCTGGCCCACAGAGACACTTGGTTTTTATCTTTGTTGTTCCTTCTTGCACATCTGTGTTGTGCTGTCTTGGTGCCTTTCTAAGTCTTTGGTAAGAAACAACTTCAAAAGTTTGTGTATAGCACCGAGCTCAAAGGATCCCGATCTCATTCAGGCCTCTGGGTGTTGCTGTAGAGCACTGAGTAAATTTGTTTATTGTAGTAATGGAAATATTTCTTGAGTTATTTGGTCTTAAGTAAAAAAGGGGTGGAGGGGGGGAAGACATGGGAATGGGGAGTTTGATCTATTTGGAGGTTTGTGCACTGTTGAAAAGTGTCCTTCCCATACATTTTTCAGTCATGTGCTTTGATGCCTACAACAGTGATTTCATAAATGAATTTAAGCCGAGCTACGTCATGACATTATCTTATCAAGTTGTCTGCAAATTTGCTTGGAGGTATAGTTAGTATTTTCTAGCAGACTCTACCCACATGTGAATTATTTACACACTGAATTTCGTGTATTCCTGAGATGCTGTCAGGCTGAACTTGATGCTAATTTTGGTCTGCAGTACAGACCATTTCAATGGGTGTGATTTCCCTTCTAATTACGTTTTGTTCTCTGAACTGATAGGGTGTTACCATTTAGTCCATTTTTGCTGAATGAAATGGTCCTTCAAAAATTTTAAGGTCCCTTTAATGGTGGAAGTTTTGGTGTTTTTTTTAGTTGAGCTTCTGGAGAGGAAAGTGCACAAAACAGTGCAGACCACATACATGTATTTAAATCATACACGTGTGTTTTTTTTTTTCCTCGTGCTTGATAGGTATAGTGCTGTGGGTTCTGCTGTGTATCACAGCCTAAAGCGATTCCAAGAAGAAATCTTTAAGATGGTTACTTGAATCTGTGTTCACTGCCCACCTGGTGGTTATGGAGTGAACTGTTACTTTAAAGAATAGTTTAAACAACAGCCATGTTTGGGGCAGGCTAATCTTGCAAAGAGAGCAGTACATATAGCAGGAGTCTACTGTGTGATAAGGGGAAAATTCAGCTCACTGACTAGATGTTTTAATGTGCGAACTCTAGGGAAATAACATATTGACTATTCTGTTGTGCGCAAGAAAATTGAAGAACCCTTTGCAGACAGAGGGCTTGCAAAGGATTCTTTCTGTTTCTCTTAACCAAAATCTGTGACAAGATGTTTGAAATCAGCAGGACGCTTAATGCTGCTTTGTTAAATAATGAGGTAATATTTTGTCACTTTTTCTGGGCAGCATCTGTTTTTTCTCCTTTTTCTATGTTTATGAAGGCTTCAGATTAATCTTCTGAAAGTAAGAGATTAAAAAAATCATTCTTGAATTTATTATGATTTTTTTCCTTTTGATGCTTTTGGAGAATTGGGTTGTCTTTTATTTGCGGTTTCAATCGGCTGCTGTTGCCTAGGACATTATGCCACGTAAGGCTTCTAAACTGCACAGAGTAGGTAGTTATTAACGCTGAATTGGCTTCTGGTATAGTCCATCTGGGCTCTGTATGAGAGAGCTTGCTAGCGGCTACTGATGCTAAGATACCCGCAACCTTTGGGATGTATGCGTGGTGGAGAGGGGCTCAGTGATATGAGATCACTTCTTTTAAGGGAAACTGTCATTAATGAGTCAAGAAACTGCTCATTTATGGTAAGGAGAGGGGGGGTGGGGGTGGGAAACAACCCTGTGATTTCATTTTGATATTGGATTAGCTGTTTAAGACAAGTTTCTATTTTGTGGGGATGGAAGACTGCATTAAAAATATGTTTGCGGGTGGATTCTGGAGGGGCTGTATTGAGAATTTGATGCTTTACGAATGTGTCACAACTGTGATGCCGTGGCCAGGCGCTTACCCTGAGAGATAAATGGTACTATTGGAAACACGAGAATAAGGTTGACTTTTTCAACAATAGGATTCTGCCTTTGTCTTTACGGAGGGAGGCCTCTGAGGACGGTTGAGCGTTTGTTTTAGTGCTCCTCGGAAAGCCTGTGTGTGGGGCGCTTTTGGGGAACGCGGTCGGTGTGCAGAGCACCTGGATATACAGACAAACGAAAGAGATGATGTGTTTTTTAGGGGAGCAGCGTGCAATTATTGTTTCAGAAAAATGGCTGAATCTTCTGATATGCATAACCAATTTATTGCAACGAAGTAAGCTGAACTTGAAAAGACATAAAATAATGTCTGGATTTCCTTCTTTAATTGTTATTAACCCCGAAGAGACCTTAAGTAAAAATTTGCATTACAAATTTAACTTCAATGTTCAATGTATATTTGCACGCAAATGTATGGTAATAAAGTGGCTCTGTAGCATTGTGATGCCGGTGTTTGGAGAGTGGATCACCTCAGTAGTCGAGTTAGGAAACGGATCTTCTGGGCGAGTTTAATCTCTGCTAGTTTTTACCAAGCTAGAAATGTGCTCAAAAAGATGTATGGTGAGAGAAACCCTCCGCAGCATCCTTACATTGTTCCTATTTTAATCAAATTCAGTACTCATTCCACAGCTAGGTTGTGTGACGCCTTGTAAATGTGGTTTTTCTCTGTGGTGGGTCAGCTTGGAGCTGGGCTTTGTAATCTGACTGTATTTCATACATTGTATTCCCGTGTTCAGTGAGTGTGTGTGTGACTGAAAGCAATGTGAGATGTACGGCATGTCAGCTCTGAGCCGAGCAGCTCCGAGGGGGCACATCTATACTGCAAAATAAAATGCAACTTCTGAGCAGTGGTTATCCAGTTAGGTGTTTTTGAAGGTGTGCGCGGTGGTTTGTGTGGAGGTGCCCTTCTTTCTCCTCGGAAGGAGCTCTGTGTGGGCTCATCCCACCACTCTGCTTTTACCTCAGCTTTGGGAGCGCTCCCGTTAGTACCGAACTGCGAGGGACCGTCTTTGCTGCCAGGAACGCCCGAATGGTGGAACGAGGCGATCCCTGCGTGTGTGTAGAGCAGAACGCTTTAGTGGGGGTGCGTGCGAACTCCAGGTCAGTTGCGATGAAGGGATGCCGCGCCTTGCTGGCTCGGCCAACCTGCGAGCGAGGAATCGTAGAATATGGCACAGGAACGCGCTGCTCTGTCACGAACTGTCACTAACCTGCCGCGCTGCGTGGGGCGGCGGTTCTGTCAGCGGTGTGTGTGCGAACTCGGGCACGCTCCGCTCAGCACAATGCCGGCCGAGGGCTGGGCCGCCCCAGCCGAGCGAGGGCCGAGCGGGGGGCGTTCGGCGCGGCCGTTGGGGCGCACGGCAGGCCTCGCGCGCTGCTCCCCGCCGGGCGGCGGCGCGGGGAGAGGCGCGGAGGGGCCGCGCGGCCCTCCTCGGCGCGGGCCTTAACGAGCGGCGCGGTTCGGGACCCCGCCCGGTGCCGCGGCGGGCGGAGGTCAGCGGCTCATTAACACCGTCAATCTGGCGGCGGCTCATTTCAATAGCACCTGATGTCTCGACGCCTCCCCGCGCGGCGGCGGCCAATGAGCGCGCGGGCGCCGCTGACAGATGGGGCCATAAATGGGCGCGGCGCGGGGCCGGCGGCAGCAGCGCCAGCAGCGGCAGCGCCAGCAGCGAGCGGGCAGCGCGGCCCCACCGCCCGCCCCGCGCCCCCCGCGCCCGCTGCGCACACTGTGCTTGGTGGATCTTAACAAATACCAATAAAAGTCAGGTCCCCGAAACCTTAGCCAGTCTGTAGAAGAGTTGAAGCCTTTCAAGACCCAATATTTGCCATTAAGAATGGTTATGGTAGGTATTGGTAGATTTAAGCTCGGGGCGCAGCGGGTGTCTGTAGAGGTAGACGTAGAGGCTGACATAGATTTCCCCAAACGTGCATCGCTCTCCGCCTGTCTCACACGGGGGTGGCTTGCTGTGCTCGTCCATGATCTCTCCCTCTCTCTCCCTCTCTCTCTCTCTCTCCCTCCCTCCCTTTCATATTTAATGTCTGCGCGTCCTTTAATAAAGGATGTACTCTCGTTGCGAGGTGGCGGCGGTGCGCTCGGAGCGGAGCGCTGATGCCGGGCGGTGCGTGGCGGGCGCGGGGACGGCGGCTTTGTGCGAGCGGGGGTGCGTGCACGGCGGCGTTCGGAGATGCGAAATCCTCGGGGGGGGGGGGGGGGGGGAGGAGAGGGGAGGACAAAAAAAAAAGCCTCGAGATTGGTAATTTTCTTTTGGTGGACTGCGCAATAGGTATGGTAATTTTAAAAGCGAGTGATTTATATGAGCTTCGGTAAATGCTGCATATTGTATTTCAAAGAGTTTCCTGTCATGACCTCATAAAAAGAGGAGGAGGCTGTGTGTGTTGCAGCGCCTAGTCTATGTCGATTTTGTTGCATCGCTGGGCAGCCGCGCTGTAAGAAGGAATGTCAGCTTTTACATAACGCTCTCTTTGCTTCCGACTCGGTGAGGGGCTCTGAGGGTCCATCTTGGCGATCCCAGATGGAGTGGAATGGCCTGAAGATGGTAAGTGAGCGCGGCGCCTCGCCCCACCGCACCGCGCGGGGCTCTTTGTTCGGGAGCCGCCACCGCGATGGGCAGCGCCGCGCCGGGCCGGGAGCGCCGCGGGGGGTGCGGGTGGCCCCGCGTGGGGCCGTGCGCGGGGAGTCAGGTAGTGCGGGGCTGCGCGGGGCCGGGGGCCGCGGTCTGTGCGCTTTTTGCTTTTTTTTTTTTTTTTTTTTTTATTATTATTATTATTATTCCTTCGTACCGAGGAGAAGGGCAAAGCCATATTTCTGTGCGCGGATAGTAATTCTATTTTTAGCCCGCGCTGGCAGCCGAGGGACCGGAGCCGCTCTCTCCCCTTTTGTGCTCGCCTTGTGCAAAATGGCACGATCGCATCCCCGGGGCGGGGGGCCGCGCACAATGCACCCCCGCTCGGTCCCCTCGCCGCCGCCACGGAGCGCGGCCGGGGAAACAAAGCGGCGGTCTTTTCCCTTTCTTACAGGATTGCCTTTGTCTGCCTGCTTGTTTTGATGGGTGTAAAACAAATAAGATTAGACTGAGCAGCCGAACTGAAAGCGATAGCTGGGAGGAAAAGCCAATGAAAGGTTGCCGGGGAAACGAGCAGAGGGGAAGCTGAGTGGGGGAGCAGGTGGCAATCATGTGGGAATACTGCAAACAGTGTAAAAAAAAAAAAAAAAAAAAAAAAAAAAAAAATCTTAAAAAAAAGAAAAAAGCAGGGGCTACCTCGATTATCTGTGCTATTCTTTGTGGCAGTCACAACTTTAATTATTCTTTATAAATAGGTGTTAATTACATTTCTGGCTCAGGCTTACAGTGATTTCTAGAAATCTGTTTTTAAGCATCTGTTCTTTCTCCTTTGCAAAAGAGGGTTATCTTTTTTTTTTTTTTTTTTTTTTTTCTTTTTTTTTTTTTTTCCCCTCCCTGCTGTGAAATTGTACGTGCAAAAAATGGCAAGGAATCCTGTGAGGCAGTATAAAAAAAAAAAAAATGTAAATTATATTGAATGAAGTTGACAGAGGTATAATAGTGAACTCCCACAGCTGATAGCTTCTGCAAATCATTTCTTAGAATTTTCCAGCAAATGTCCCTATGAGAACAGTAGGTAGAATGAATTTACCCTAAGCGGTGATTTTGTGTTAAGTGATATTGGTATTTTTACAAAATCAGATGGTTATATGGCAGGATAATCAGTTCAGGGGAGTTCACCAGATCCTGCCGTTTATGCGCTGAGCAGAATTTAAGAAAATAATGGGATTATTTTCCTCTCCGTCTCCAGCCCCACCTTGAGCCACCATCTATTCTCCATCTGCTGTAGCAGTGCCACTTCCAATGGCAGGCTGCGCGTGGCAACTTTACTTTGGGAACTGCAGCTGAATATTGTGCTGGTGGTGATGGGCTCTCATTGTGGTGGCAAACAATGTGCCATAGAGAAGCGCATCTTTAAGCGAGGCTGTCGGTGCTGGAGCGTTAACGGCGTAGCGGCTACTGGGCGATAGACGGTAGTGTAAGAGATAGGAAAATGTGGTTGCCCAGAACATGCTCATCTATCACACATCAGGAGGCACAAGAGGAGCGGAGCACGGATACAGAACACGCCTTTCTTTCTGCCTTCGTTTTCAGATTATTTCTTACTCTCTTCCTTTCTCTCTTGCACAATTGCTTCAAATGCAAATCGGAGCAGGGACATTAGTGCTCGATTTCAGTAGGAATAAAAAGAAATTAAATCCCCCTTCTGATTTGCTTTGTTTTTAGTGCTGCTTCTGCTGCAGTCCTTTCTGTAAAGTGGCTGAATGGCCCTCTGAAAGCTGCACTGTTTTACATTGTAAGGGGAAAAATCTTGAGGGTGTGTGTGTATGTGTAAAATTGTGTATTTCACAGCCTGTCCGTGTGCAGAGATGTGTTCTGACAAGTATTATAGTTGTATGTGTGAGCAAAATGATTTTTCTTCCATCTGAAACAGAGATGCTGTGTTCTAAATCTGTTAACTTAGTCACGCCAATAAATAAGGGTGCCTTTATTATACACAGCTGCATTGTTCAAGAGTCATCAGCTAGCACTTACATTTTCACTTTTTGTTCAGTTTGGTATTTCTACAAAGATTTTAAAATGTAGTCCTTGTCTTATGGCGCACGTGTTCCTGCCTCAGTCTTCCTCTTTTCTTTGTTTTAGGATGATATTAATGAATACAGCCTGCACATAGTGGCATTCTTTCTGCAT